ACCAACATATGCGTTATTTGCATAGTCCACAAGATTTCTTTAATAGAGATATAAAAAGTAGTATGGAACTTTAGAGGATGTTTGAAACCTGTTGTCATACTAACTAATTTGCTGTTCTTTGCAAGGCCTACTTTTATGTCTGGTCTTTTTTAATATATTAGGTAGTTTCATGTTGACTTGAATCGTGCATGAATATTTTTTTTTTGGACCGTGCTTGAATAGTTGCTGATAGAGCTTTCAGGTTTACCCTCATCATGAGCAGCCTTGGAGGTAATCATGCTCTGGTGGCAGTCACGATCCAGTTTGGGTCATGGGATTTTATCAATTTGCTTAACTGAAAATTAACAATAATACTTGAATTAAAAGGACTCCTCTCCTCTTTTTTGTTGATTAGAAAGCCATTCATGGGGAATCTATTTGTGAAGAAAACGAAGATCACAGAGGTTGATCGGGCAATTCTTTCTCTTAAGACCCAAAGGCGTAAGCTTGCTCAATATCAACAACAGGTATGCCTCATTCTCCTTTCTTTTCCTGGACTTTTTTTGCATTAATTTTGTTGTTTTCTTTTCCAAATTGTCTCAGAATTTGTGGAATTAAATCTTGGTGTCTTATTCACCCTTGTGTACGAGGAGAATAGGGAGTTCTGACTTTCCTTTTAATTTGTCTAACTGTTTGTTTTGGTGCCTGGAAACTGGAGCAAAAGGGAAAGATAAAAGGGTGAGGAAGAAGTTGGATTTGCAGTATGGTTGGGATGGTAGTGCAATGACCAATTATAATCTCTTTATGGTTCTGCAGATCCAATTTATAAATAATTTTGCCATTCCAATTTTGGGCATTGGAGGTTGTTGCCCATTGCCCAACTGGAAGAATAAACTTGATCCCTTAAAATATGAAGCATATGCTCAGTTTAGAGTCTTTTGACAATTGTCTCAAACCATGCTCATCTGCTGTTTTCTGTTTCAGTTCTGGCTAACTTTATTAACCTTATAATTTTTCCACAGCTCTTGTTAATAAATGTATCTGGTACTTATAATGAGATTTTTCAACAAGAGTTGCCACTCAAATGAATGCTCTGCCCTATGACTTGTATAATTTTTTATATTATTCTGTTTTGCAATGTCCACTTTTCAGCTTGAGTCCGTCATTGAAGCAGAAAAGCAAGCTGCAAGAGACTTGATTCGTGAAAAGAGGAAGGATAGGGCCTTGTTAGCGTTGAAGAAGAAGAAAACACAGGAAGAATTATTGAAACAAGTTGATGCTTGGGTCATTAATGTTGAACAACAGGTCAGTGACCATTCAATGAAGATGATATTATTTCAGCCATTTCAATTATGGGTTTCTGTTTTGCTTGTTTCTTTTGTTTTTGTTTACTTCTGGTCACTTGTGTTTTACTGTGGTAGAATTGCTTTTGCTTTCTTTGCTTTTTGTTGGGCTTATTCTTAAGTAAAAACTTTGAGAAAATTGAATGTTGATAATCCAATCTGGATTGTGGTTCAGCTTGCAGATATTGAACTGGCAAGCAAACAAAAAGCCGTCTTTGAGAGCTTGAAAGCAGGTAATAATGCAATTAAGGCTATTCAAAGTGAGGTTAACCTGGAGGATGTTCAAAAGCTAATGGATGATACTGAGGAGGCTAAGGCTTACCAAGATGTAAGTTTCACTTTTTTTTATGCTTTCTGTTGTGTCTAACCAGACATTCGCCTTATATGGCCTTAGTAGTCTGTACCATGTCACATGCATGGTCTCAATTGTTAGTAGTTTGTACCATGTCTCATTGTTTTATCTATATACTCATACTTTTCCCTTTTATTTTTATTCATTTCTATTTATTCTAAATGAGAATTTTATATTGGGATTTTGAAGGAAATAAATGCAATCTTGGGGGAGAAATTATCAGCAGAAGATGAAGAGGAAATTTTAGCGGAATTTGAGAACTTGGAAACTCAGGTATGTACCATGACATTTGAAAGCTGACATTACTAGCTCTACTGTTTTCATGATGTAATATTTGGTTTAATCATTCTAAGTCAAAAGCATACAATGTAATACTTGTCCACTAGTCTATTATTTGTTAATAGGCAATATCTTCATACCTTATTATCCAATTTTTTTTTTCCTTGAGATACTATTTATTCAAGATTTTAGTGATTCTGGGGGAATCATATAGCATTTTTGGCTCCCTGATGGTTGACAGCCAGTAGTTTGTATTATTTGACAGAATTTTGTTTTCACCATAGTCTGTTCTTCTCTTTTTTCTGACATTCTCTTTTCCTACTCAGATTGCTGTGGAAGATATGCCAAAAGTGCCTACAACCTTGCCACCTTCTGAAGAAGAAGAAAAGTTGGATCTTCCAGATGTCCCAGCAAAAGTACCAGTTGCTTATGGTGCTGAAAATACTTCAACTGAAATCCCCACGAAGAGAAAAGGTCTTTCTCTCTCTCTCTCTCTCTCTCTCTCTCGTACACACACACCGTCTGTACATATGCTTTAGACATTAACACAACATTTACTGACTTAAAAATATATTGCTGCTTTCAATAATGCAGTTATGGAGGAGCCATTGCCCGCATGATTGAAGAATTGAAGTATGATTCTATCTGCAAACGGATGGCTGTCCTTAGTGGATAATCTGCTTGTGACTTGTCATCCACGCGCATTTGCAGAAATTCTTTTTTCTCTAGACTCATGCAATCATGTACTCAATGAACTGAGTTCATAACTTCTAATTATTTTGGTTTGAGATATGTACAGATCTGTATCATTCCACTCCTGATTTATACAGTAAGTTTTTGTAAAATATGACAGACCCTTTGTTATTTTTCCATTATTATTCTTAGATACAGATGACGAGGACCTTTGTCCGGAATCCGAACTCCAGGGTAGGGGCACTGAGTGTGGGCACGCCTCTGTGTTTATGGAGAGTAATATATTCCCATGAGAATTAAATTACTCTACAAATATCTTTCTCCTTCTTTATCACACAACAAAGAAAAATTTGCAGATTCAATGAAAAAGAATAAGAGTAAATAACAAGAAGTTGGTCTTTCTGAGTATTTTTTCGTGGAGGTTAGTTGGCGAATTATATATGAGATCGCATCATTGATTTTATTCGGTACCAGCAGGATACTCCTTTGTTTGGAGTCAATGGATAAACTTACAATTAATGGATTGGAGGAATTATCGTTAGGTAAACAAAGGCACTAGTAAGTTTGCAATTACAATTTCTTTTTCTCTTATAGAGAGCAATTATAATTTGTTTCCATTTGTCTACAAAGACTTGAGAAATGAAAATCAAGATAAAAAAGTGAAAGCTACCTGTTCAACAGGGATCAAATAATATCATATTTGCGGAAAATCGTCGGCATTTACTTCTTTAATTTATGAATTTTAATACCTATAAACTATACAAAATTTTAAATTTAAAACTAATCAAGATCCTAAAAGAATATTAGAAACATTTAAACTTAAGCTATCACAATGAGATGATATGAAACTACAATTTGTGTTAAAGAAAGTTTTAGGAACTACGGAAAACCAGAAATAAAAGCCGATAACCATTTCTATTCGGTAATAGAATTTCAATAAAATAAATGCAAAAAAAACATCTAATGCATAAAAAGAATTTTGAAAATAACTATTATTATTATAATAATAATTGATAGAAAATATTATAAGTTTAATTTAATAAATCATGGTGTGTATGCACGTAAATATGTGTGTATACATATATCTTGTGCTTAATAACAAATTTTGTATAGATATGTAAGTATTCAGTTATTTTATTAAGTTATATGCCTACAAACGCTTCATATCTCTAATAAATGAAAAATTGCATACTCACCCCACTTGATGGATGAAAAGATTGCGTCCTCACCCTGCTCAAGGTGTGTTGTGCCATACCACCTGTTGTTTTTTCCCCCCATCATCACTCAGGTTATATGACATAACAAAAATATAAAACTCCCTACAAGTTAGATGAAAAGAAAAACTAAAAAAAATATAGATGAATATGAAAAAGGAAATCAAAACAAAATCTCAACATCCCAAAATAATTCACAAAAGAGATACGATATAATATAACTCTTGAAAGCACCATACCAACAACGAAAACAGGAGTCTAAATTAACTAAAATATACTTTCTAACAAAAAAATCAACTGATGAACTCTTGAAAGCACAAAATCAACCGGTAGGATATGAAACTTTTTATATTCCTTTTATTGGCAGTTTGTGCAACTCAAATGCAATGATGAAAGCATTGGGACATGCATTTCTTGATTATTATTCTCAATTATAAATCCGAATGCAGTTCATGTCCACCTTTATAACTATTCAATTCCAATGAACTTGAGGAACTCTTGCCGAAAAATCTTGACAGAAGCAGTCGTGCTACATTCTCAGCCGCTACAGCACTTGTCTCCATGGTGCTAGCCGCATTTTCAAAAGCATCGATGTAGTACAAGTTCCGGCCGTCCAAAATAAATGGTGAAAAAATTTCTGGAGCATGGTAATGAGGATAAGCACCCCAGTCTATTCGTATTGTTTCAACCCTCACACTATAAGTGACAAAAAATTAACAATAATCAGCATAGAGACCAAGGTTTATATATGCAGAAAGGTTCAAGGTTGAGTGAGTCCTTCCGTGGGGCATGGCTCCAATAGAGGAAAGAAAAAAAAATATGAAAAGAACAGGACCAAAAACTAAAAAGAAATATGTAAAGGAGTGGTTCTCCAAATCTTGGCTTCTCTTGCAACAAACCACCCACCAGAAAGGGGTCCGAACAAGCAGAGATAAAAAAATTAAGGGGGCAGATGGATTTTCCTTGCCCATAAAGACCTTGGTAAATCTAAGAGTAAGAACTACAACCACAACCATATCCATATAAAAGGTGCCCAAACTCTCCATAAGTATATCAACCCTTCAAAACTTACCGATTAGCTATTTCAATAACTGATCTTGATCACTGGTGCTAGGCATTTGTGCATGGTAGAAGGCTCGATAAAAATAAATTTGAAGGGATTCAACATACAGGAAATCATACCGATGGCTGCTTTGAAATTATTACCTGAAGATGCTATCAAGTAATATGTCTGACAATGGTTTGCGAGAAAAAACTTTGTAAGTCATATCTTTCTCATCATATTGCTTGAGAACTGAAATGCTCGAGAATGGAAGCTCAGGATCCTCGATTGTTCCGACCAGTTCGGGAATGTCAGAAACAGAAGTTACACCAAAATATTCCTTTCACAGAAAAAGAAAACTATAAATCACCAGGCAGGAGGGCAGATATAATAGGAACACAATGAAAGGATCCTACCAAGGATGTACTTATGGATGATAATCTAACTGAACTATCAAATCAGAAGGTGCTAGAATATTTACTGGATTTAAGAGGCCCCTCACAAATGTTGCATGTGTATGCTGTAATTTCCTCTCAGGAACTGAAATAGGAGGAAAAAATTGAATATTTACTTCATCCAGTGGTGTAGCTACCACTGTGACATTACAAGTGTAACTGCTTCCTCTTGTGGAGTTTATTTCATAATAGTCTCCCAGGTAAGAGACAGATTTAATTTCCTCATTGAGGTGCAATGTAACATCTGATTGATTAATCAATCCTGCAGCCATCTGCCAGTTTCCTCCTTCAACAGACCATAATCCTCCACCAGATCCTGCCAGGGAAACTGCACCAGCAAGTCCACTGATGCATGTACTTTGGCCGTAATTGATTCTTGTAATGACCTGATCAATGAATGGCAGTCATGTTTGTAACTGATTTTTCAAAGAATTTATATAAGATTTCCTAGTTATAAAACTTTCTTCGAGATATATGCAGGAGTTTTGGTTCTTCATGGCCAATGAGTAAGAATGCACATAATGGCTGGTTGCAACAGAAAATGGACTTTGTTGTCTCCATGCTAATGTAGAACAGGACAATACTAAAACGTAAGAATAAAAACATAAAGAAATACTTCCTTGGTCTTCCTTGGTCATCTAAAATCTCTCTGTTTCAGGCGGCTCTTAAATATTCAGAAAAAAATATTCACTTCTCATTCTGCTCCAATTTTCTTTTTCTTGCAAAAAATAAAAGAGACCAGTTTAAACAAATTACTTGCTCGACAAGTTGCCTTGGCCATAACCATAAGAAGTTAGGAGTCCCAACCTGATGGCAAGCTAATGCACAAAAGGGCCGAAGAAAGACCCAATATTTAGGAATTCCTTCCATAAGGGTCTTCAAGTTCACAAATGCTCTCTAAAAGCAGTTGAACCATTACCTAACCCCAATTAAACTGAAAACTTGGTTGATGCAGAATAAGAAAAAGCCCATTTGGCCTATTCTTTTGATTCTTTTCCTTTATGAAAAATCCCATTTGGTTGATGCTGTAGAACCATTACATTTGCAAGTTGACCAATAGCCGAGACATATGAAATACAAATCAAATAACAATCTAGCTTTTCCTTTATGAAATGACTATCCATTCTAATATGTTTTGTTCTATCATGTTACACAAGTTAGCCAATGGCAGACTTGTTTTTGCAAATAATTTCATTGGCTTTTCTCTTAGGATCCTTAATTCTTCAAAAATAATCTTGGACAATAATAACTCACAAACTCCCTCTGGCAAAGCCTTGAACTTTACCTTTTCATTTGATGGACTGACTAAATTAGGTTTCTTACTCCACTAGATCACAGAATTGCCTTCAAGAAAAATATAATAACCCATAATAGCATCTATCAACTAGTAAGCCTGCATAAGTTGCATCAATGTATGCCTCAAGGACTAATCTGGTGTTCCTTTTAACTGGAATTCCTTTTCCATGATTAGCATTTAGGTAATATAGTATCCTGTAAACTGCATGAAGACGAGCCTCTCTTTGATTATGCACAAATTGGCTAACCATGCTCATGGCACATGCAATGTCTAGTTTTATACGAACAAGATATATAAATTTCCTACAAGTCTCTGATAGATCTCTCTATCTACATCTAGATCTTCATTTGTCTTTCATAGTTTGTGATTTTGCTCAATTTGGGTGGAGACAGGTTTACATGTTAATTTTTCTCTCAGTTCCTTCTATCTCAAATTCCTTGACTAGGCATCTTCTCAATACTTCCTTCTCTTTCTCTTTTCCATCATACTAGTTTTAACTTTGACCTCACACAGTTGGGCTGCATCACAACCTTCAGTCGAACAACATCTCAAATCTCTTTAGTTACCTTCTTAGGAGATGATTGACTTTCCCATTTCCCTTCAAATAGGTTCCACGACCCACATAGTGACCAACGGATGAGATTCTTCCTCTCCTTGCCAACAAAAATAACATCCCGAACGCAGATTTCATCTACTACAAAGCCGCTGAATACCAAGAAAGGTTTACGAAAGAGAGAACGGAATTCAAAACAACCACAAGTTTTTGGGGCCACCATTAACTATGATTTAACCTTGTTGTCTAACTTGTCCAAGGTAAGAATTTTCCTCCATATCACTTTCCAAGCAAATAATATAAATGTGGCAAAGCTTTCTTCTTTCAAATGTGTTTCCAAGGAAATCTGATGGCCATAGAGGACTGAACCACAAGATTGAGATAGAAGGACTCTCCAAGAAATCACCATTTCTTGAAATCACCAATACTGGCTTTTCTCAAAACCAGCCTCTTTTCTTTTTTTTTTTTCTTTTTTTCTTGAAATATGCACCAACCTCTTTTCTTATATGAAAGTCGCTCCATGTTGATTATGTTGAGAGAATTTTTTCTCAATGTGATGTTTTACCTCGTCTTCAAGAATCTAAAATTTTGGTGATCAACTACTAGTTTCTTATGGAGATTACAAGTATCTGAAATCGCAAATTTTTGGAGTGTTTGAAATGCATTTTCTGCCCTTGTCGTTGCTGGTTCTTGATCACTTCAAAATTTGAAGTGGGATTTTAACTAAGTGGGGGAAAATTATTTAGAATAAGAAATTAAACCATTTAAATAGTTATAGTGCTACAAGAGATATGTCTAATTACTATGATTATTAGTATCTTTAATTTATTTAGCTTGTCTAGGCAATTTTAAGTATTATTAGGAATTAGGAGTTTTTAATTTTCCCTTGGTTGTTGCAATATTTTCCCTATAATATTACCAGCATGAAGGCCTTTAACTATAAACCGTAGCGGACA